AATAGTGGGCAGAACTGTCAGGGCATCATGCAGCCAGGCATTTATTTACTAATTATTCAAGTAAAACCTGTGTTCTTTGTTACTAGAATGTTAATTCAAAGCAGTTTTAAAGATCATAGGTATGGGGTGGGGGAGGGATAGATCTCAGGAGTCTAAGCAGCAGCCATCACTCTGAATAACTCATTGAAGGTGGTAGAAAGGGAAATTAAACTCAAGTGAATTGCTTTACCTCTCTCTTTTTTATTTTAATTCGACTTTGTCTTCCATCTGCTGTGGAAGAAATTTCTATGCTAGAGCCTTCCTTAGTCGTTCTACAAGGCGGTTAACGGCATGTTGAATCAACAACCTTCAGTACAGAACCTAACAAGTACACTTGAGGTTGAACTGGAAACGGGAGTCTGGCGCAGGTACGGGCTGCTGCCTGCTGGAAGGAGGAGATTGAGATGGATGGCATCTCTCCAAGGCCAAGCCCTTGCTGTTCAACCCAAGTCACTTTGGGGAACACTGGGTCCTCATGTCCTAGGTTTGCATCAACACCTCCTATTGTAAGGAGGAGACAGGAACTCCTGACTTTTGGAGAGCTCTTGAAGCTGCGGTATACCCTCCTTATCCCTGTCATTTCTGAGAAAGTGGAGAGAGCTAAAACACCTCAAAGGAAAGCTGTACATGTCCCAGATAAGTGGTGCTTATAAAGTGGTTGCCAACTTTCATAAACTTTCTGTTAAAACTCATGAATGACACCTCTGGAAAATGTAGAAACACGACAACCGTTTCTGTTAGTAAAAGTAGTTAAAAATATCCAGAAGTCCATTAATCTCCCCTCTCTCTGAAATAACAACCCAGTTCTGCTATTTAAATAGTCAATGTAATAGGAAACTATGAGTAACTTTCCAAGCGACATTTTGATAGAACTTTTCCTCTAGACACCAGTCACTCCCAATCAGGAATTTTCTGATTTACAGTTTTTGTTTTTTGTTTTTTCTTTTGGTAAATGTTTGCTAAAAAAGGAAAGTGGGTAATAATCTTTTTCGGGGAAACACTGATTGGAACTGCCACCCTGGCACCATAACAACCATTTGCTTGAGTTACTTTACAACAGGAGGATGTGGTAAGGACATGGAGGAACTAACAATCTACCACCAACTGGAAGAACTCAGTAAAGGTCAAAAGGAGACACCACATGTCCTACCAACCTCCCAGAATCCTTCTCACTGGAATCCATCTTGGCTGAACAATGCGTGCACCACCAGGAAGGACCCTGAGTCAGAAAGATTAGCCAGAGAAAACTCGGAAACTAATCCTATCATGATAAAAATCCCGACTGTGAGCCACATGGCAGACTAGTTCTCCTAGGTTCCTTTACCTTCCTGCCCTCCACCGGGTGCCCCTTCTCAGCAAAGTCTCTTGCTTTGTCAGCACATGTGTCTCCTTGAACAATTCATTTCTGAATGTTAGACAAGAGCCCGTTCTCGGGCCCTGAAAGGGGTCCCCTTCCTGCAAAAATGGGTAGATCTCTCTCTTCTTGCCATCTCTGGTTGTTTAGATGCTTTGCTTACTTCCTCCTCCTACAATGGCCCAAGGTAACTAGTAAATCTACAAGGAGAGACTAAAATCAAAGAAAAACAGAGACAAAGCAGAAAGAAGATGTTACGCGTGTAGACAACAAATGAAGGTGAAGGAATTGGAGAACTAACCTTTATTAAGACCCTTGTTTGCCAAGATCTTTGGTATATCCTTTACATTAAAAAAATGAAATGTTGGCATGTTTCTAGTTTTTTTTTCTTTTTACTAATAATACATTTTAACAGTGTAGAATATGTCCTTTTAAAAGTGATGGTCTATTAAGACCATTGGTAATTTAAGTAAATCAGGAGGTGGGCAAAATTCAGGAGTTTATTTTTATTTTATTTTTTTTTTTAATTCAGGAGTTTAAAATCACTTTAGAATTTACTTAGAACTGGATTGGTTTTTTAAAAGTAAAACAAAACAAAAGCCTAGCATTTGAGACTCTTTGAAGCCTATAAGAAAAATCAGCACAGTTAGAAAATGTCTTTCCCACAGTTTTTCCTGTGGTGTTTTGCTTTCTCCATCACACAGGACCCTGCTCACATCCGTGCCTCTTGTCCCTAATTCTCCCAGCCAGGTCCGTATTATCAGGTGTGGATGGAACTCAAGCCCATATGGCCCGGGAAGAAGTGGGGTGGGGGCTACCCATAGCTAGCTTAGACAGCCTTTGTCGGAAAGCTGGTTTCCCAGTCGGATTGGGAGGGTGGGGCTGGCAACTAGAAAATGAGATCCCATCACTTCAGGCTAAACATGCAGCCAGCATTTCCAAGGCCGTAACCTTGCACATTTTGAAGAAGGTAGGGCTTTACATGCGTTCATATCCTCTACTGGACCTCTTTCTGGTCACCAGGCATGCTGTTAGCAAAACGGCAAGCAGTACTGCGATACTCAGGCCCACGGCCACAGGGATTTCTCTCCTGTTTCTGTCACTGATGCATTCATCCGCTGCAATTGAAGTCAGAGTAACAGATGTTACAGGCTGGCCACGGCGCTGGGAAGTGATACTGCCCCCACCTGCCTCGGCTTCACAGAGAAGAAAGAGAGATGGAGGGACTGAGCTTGTCCCTGCTGCCTTAGAGGCACAGACAGGTGAAGATGAGAAGCGGAGGGGTCACTGCAACCCTCTGGAACTTGCAGTGCCTCTGACCACCGAAGGGGTATATTATATCACAGAGCCCTGGGCCTCACACCCAAGTAATTTTGATTCAGTGGGGTCAGTCTTAGGGCCCAGGTGATTCTGACATGACTGGGAGGCAGATTCAACTTTGAGAAATATTGGTTAGGGCTAGAGGTCAGGATCAGAACTGCGTCTTGACCCGAGCCAGGGTAAGCCCAGGAGCCTTGTTTCCCAGCGTCAAAATCTGCACCAGATCATGTGGCCAGAGTATTCTATTTAAACTCTGTGGCTCTCGAAAGGGGCTGCCAGACGGCCCGGGCTCCTGACACCGGAGAGAGCTCTTGCAGGCTCCCAGAGTTTAAAGAGAAGGGTTTGAGAAGGGGGGGCAGGAGCCTGCTGTTTGAGATGACCGTTGCCTTTGACAAGGCTGAGCGTTTAACTTGCGGGCCCCTCTGCGGTTCTCTGAGCCCCTGGTGAAGGGCCAGCCATCAGTCCGGGCTTCTCTGACCTCCTCCCCACAATGCTCTGTCACACTGTCCTCTGCGCTCCCACAGCTCTTTGCTCTTATGTCTCTTATAACACCATACCGTGCGGTAACTTTTATTTTTTAACTGATTCCTCTCCCCATCTTCTCTCACTCTTTGGTAGAAAACATTATTTACAGGATGACATACGACTTCGCACTTGAGCATCTTTAGTGAAATCTGAGGCACAAGGCCTGGGAATAAGGAGCTGAGCTGAAGCAGGGATGGTGGAACCAGAGAAATATTCTGGCGGTAGAACTGACAGGGTTTTGTGACAATTTATATGAGAGGGCAAGGGAGGGAGAGGAAAAAATGATGATAGCTTTCTACATCCCCTCGTGAGCACTGCTAATAGCAGGCCAGGTGTGCTGCTGAAAGGTTTTCATTTCTCACCTCTGCCACTAAGCGGTTTCCCAGACCTGCTCACTTCCTTCTATACACAGGTTCTGAGGGGGAAGAAGAGCAAATGTGTGCACTATTTTTAGGACCACATGATTAAATACAGAGGTGTTTCAAGACTTCATAATGAGTTTTTGAAAGAACTTTTCAAACTGGGTATTTTGAGGCAAGATGACAATGTAGGGGCAATACCTACCAGCAAATTTTAATATTTAATCTTATATTTTAATCTGGACTGTGGTAAAGGTCTGGAATGAAGATAGAAATTGTAGGACTCAGATGAAACCTACAGAAATCAGGGGATCCACAGCAAATAACACTTTACTACTTCTTTTGCTAAATGCTTTCACCAAGTGTTAATATATCAGGAGTTTTCTGCCCTCACATCTTCAACTTTACAGAGAAATCAGACTCACATTACAGAAATTTAATTTACAGCTAAATATCCAGCCAAATCAATTTTTGATAGTTGAGAGGTGCTCATATGTCATTGACATATTATGAGAGAGATGTTTTAGAAACTAAAGTTCAATTCCTGCCCATATATAGAAATCCTTGTAACATTGTTTTCCCAGTGGGGAGAAAAGAACTTTTCTGGAAAGTTACCCTGGGCTGTCCCTGGTCTTCTTGCTATGACCTGCTTCCCTCTGTCGTGGTAAAAACCCAAAACAGAAGTTGCATGAAAACTAAGACTAACTTTGAGGAAGCACTAGTTCGGTGGCACAGCTTGGATTTGAGAAGAGGAGATCCAGCTGAGTGTCTAGAATTATCACATCTTTTTCTTTTCCCTCTGTAAGTGGGAAAGAATCTATTATGACATCTTGAATTTTAGCCATCACTCATATTCATGATGTTTAAAGTGTTCTCCAAAGACACTTGAGTTTACCAGTACTCAGCAGCTTGTTTGGGGAGGTTACCGATGGCATTTTCTGACTTTTTGATTGATTATGTGCATGTGTGTATAAATGAGTCAGAATGTGTATTTCAGTCAGACAAGGAGAATATAACCTACAACAGGAGGGCAGTGGACATGAGTGGGTTAAGACATGTAGGAATCCCTTTTCTCCCCACCAGAAAAAGTGTTACAAGGATTTCTACCTATGGGCAAGAATTGAATTTTAGTTTCTAAAACATCTCTCTCATAATAACTGAATGACATTAGCAGTACCTCTCAACTATCAAAAATAGATTTAGCTGAATTTTGAGGTTGGTATTGACTCACACAATGGTGGGAGGGCTGGTCAGAGAAACTTGACCCTGAGAGCTTGGTGGTGGAATCATACTGTTCTAGGATGTTCACGTGATTCTTGTTCCTTTGAAAGTTTCAAACAAAAATAACTTAAAACTACCCATGGTACACTTTCTCAGAAGTGAATGTTTGTGACATAACTCACCATTTCCAAAGTGGTCATCTTCAAAATCAAAAGCTTGAAGCTGGACGTTCATTGTTTTCAGCTGAAGGTGGGTTGAGAGCTGGAGGCTCTGTTCACTCACACACTTGAAGGAATGCCCGACCACAGTCTCAAACATCATCATCGCACGTTTCATTCCTTGGTAAACTTTCTCTGAAAACACAACGGTGAAACAGAGACATGCAAGAATCCTGGCAAATAGCTGTTGAGCCCCAGCTGTTGCTTGGCGGCCCATGAAGCGTTAAATGGCCTTTCTTACATGTGGTTTTCTGGAGTTCTGCCACCTTCGCGTCATGAAATCTCACCCAGGCGCTCTCTGGGGACTTTTTCCTGGTGCTCTGTTTGCAGTATTTGAGCGTCATCTCACTTATGCTGGAATATGATAACGCTGAAATCAAAACTTTGGGGAATCTTTTCTTCAGTTATTTTAAATCATTGGGGGCAGAGCTGATGCGGACAATTGTCAATGCTTGGGCACACACACACACACACAAAGTGCCCACAAAAATTTCAGAAATAAAAGAAGTAAGATGGTTCTCTGAGTCAAAATCACATGAACTCTTTACTAATAATTAATGAGAGCGGAGACATGCAAAGTTACCGAGTTGAATATTTGCATGTCACCACACTGAATGCATTAATAGAGCAAAAGGAAGGACTAGGCCCATCATTGGGATGGGTTGTTGCATCATTCAGGGACGCATGAAAAGAGAGAGGCTCATCTCCAGCCATCTAAGTGCTGATGGAAAGAGGGACCTACTCAAAGACTGGTGCTGTCTCATGCGGGTTACACCCTTTTCAAGGAGGTGAATGCTTAAGGCACATGGGATTAAACATTTAAATCATATAATAACTCCACATGTTCTAATTCCACCTCCACCAGGTACCTTTCTGAATATACTTGGTTTCCCAAATGGGAGAAAGTTCATTGACCAAGAGGACCTAACTCTCTGGTCCCCTTGCAGTTACAATAAGAAGCAGTAGCATGATAAATGAACAGATTAGCATTCTGATTTTATACATCAGTTTATAACCTTGGTTTAACACCAGGTTCCTTGAAGAGACAGCTGCTAAGGGTGTGCTAAGGGCTTCTGGGACTGAGGACCAGACTAGGAACCTCAGTGAATTCACCCACAGGCTGTTAGTGAAGCAACCTGGAAGTTCCCTCCTGTCCTGCCACTGCAGGTGCATTCACCTGTGTCTGAGATCACATCACCCAGTGAGGGTCAGCTCACTGGGTCTGGCACTGTGCAAGTACTTGATGTGCATTTTCCTGTTTAATTCCCATACTAATTTTCCAAGATAGGTACTACTGTCACCATTTACAGATGAGGAAATAGAGGTGAAAACATTTGCCCAAAACCACACAGCTAATAAATGGTGTTTGGACTCAAGCTGTCCAATTCTAGAGCTTGTTTTCTTAACTACTGTGTTATTGTATCTCTGCCTGTTTCTCAAATGCAACATCACAGATTAGTGAGATGAAAAATGAACTAACCAAAAACATAGCATCATCGCTGGTGGAACAGGCCTCTCCAACTACTTACCTGGATTTGAGACAGTCAAATAGGCTTCTACCTCACTGATATAGTATGAGTTTTCATCCTGTAAAACAGTAGTGTGTCAATCTTTGGGTAGTCTCTGTTTTTATGTTTAATCCTAGTTTACAGACTGTTTAGGCAGGATTCCAGGTATTAAATCACTGATATGAGAGTTTGGGGGTATGTTGTAATGGAACCATACTTGTTCTTGAAAACTTCCAAAAAAGTAAATACATCACACAGTAAATAAATAATAAGTAATGGCTTGCCCCAGCTGAAAATTTCTCTACATTATGCTTGTTGCTAGAGCCTGAAATTCAAATTCCACTGGTAAATCTGAGTCCCTTCAGCTGGGCCAGGTTTTTCCCAGATAAAATGCAAATATATCCGAAAGGTGAGTGGGTTGTGGGGTGAGGGGCAAACATTAAGCTGTTATTAGTAATTAGTATCTTAGGGTAGGGATTTAGACCAAGACCACTCATCCTTAAGGCTACTGTGGGTGGATTTGATGGGGTCCATAAACCCCCTGGCAAAAATAGTGTATGCAAAATAGTGTATGTGTGTGGATTTTCCTGGATAGGTTATCAGTTACTTTAAACAGATTAATGGGTTCATATCTCCAAGTGGTTAGATGGAACCATGAAAAGAAATGGCTAACCCTGAGATTACTGACTGCTCCCTAGAAGAGGACCTCAGGCTGTTGCGTTCAGAATTAGAAAGCATTTTATCCAGAGATTGTCTTTTTTAGAAAAACAAAACAAACCAAAAAAACCCCTACAGAACAGCCCTATAACTTCCCGAGAGATTCAGAGTATGAAAAGTTAAAAGGAATTGAATTGAGATATGAAAAGGTTCATTGGAAAAGGAGTTTTTATTTTTTAAAGTAGGCTATTTATGCTGTTACCACTTTTAAACATTCATTAGAAAACCATCCACAAGAGTTGCCAAAAATGGTAAAGCAACCAAAATGAGAATCTGAAACAGAATTACTTTTAATAGTCGTCAAAGGAATTTGACAATAATGATCTTGACCACAACTAGTTCATTTGCATATTATTTGTGGATGAAAATGATGATTCCATACACACCAAGGGTTCCAGAGTATAAATTGTTCCAGTAAGGTCACCGCTATTAATGCACTGAACTCTGGATCCTATGGTTCACTGAAGCACCTCCACACGCTGGCTTCTCATCTCGTGCCTGGCACTTCACCTCGTGTGGAAGTCACCTCTGCCTTACACCTTATTTAACCCTCACAACAGCTAGGAGAAGAGATGAAGGCTCAGTGACTTGCCCAAGGTCACAACTCTAAAAATAGGGGGCGGGGAAGATAGGACCCCAAACTGCCTGACTAGCCTTTAACTTGTCTTATATCCACCCCAGATCAGGCAGTGCTCTAGGTCCTGGGAGAAGAATAAGACCTAGACGATTCATTCAAGATGCTCAGTTTTGGGTCTCAAAGGCAAGTTGAACCATGTGCTTGGATCATCCATTTGTTTTAGAGAAAAACAACTGTGATCCAGGCCCTTCTTGAGTTGCTTTCAGATATAGTTTATTCAGGTTATTATTTTTTTTTTCTCCCTCTTGGCCGCACCGTGTGGCTTGTGGGATCTTAGTTTCCTGACCAGAGATTGAATCCAGGCCTTCAGCGGTGAAAGAGCAGAGTCCTAACCACTGGATCACTAGGGAAGCCCCAGATTATTCTTTTATTTGGGGTCTCTTTTAGCCAAAGAGAGACTAGTACTACATCAGGGCCATGGTCACTGTTATCAGATCCCTGCCCCAACCTAAGAACAGAAAGAATTCATTGAAGGGTTTTAATAGGGCAGTGATGTTTTTGGAAATTGGGCTATAGCAAGAGACTGATCTATGGAGCAGCAGAACAGTGGTGGTGTCAGTCTGAGCTCCCTGGGAGACCTCCTGGAGTTTCTCCCTCCTGTGGCAGCTCCTAGATCTATCCTTGTTGTAAAGAAAGGGGGCTTTGCATTTCTTTAAAGGTTTTACAGTTTCCTAAGTGCATTTTTTGCTTTCTTGGATCCTTATAACAACCCCTCGAGGCAGCATAAGTGTTCTTATCCCGTTTTACAACTGAGAACAAAGAGGCTCAGAGGAGGCAGGAATCTACCTCTGATCACACTGTAGGTGAGACAAAGGAAGATCTTGTCTATGGGATCTTGTTCAACATTTTCCCTTACAGGATATGGGGTTACAGAGAAAAAAAATTGTTGTGTAAGAATTTCCTTTTACATTCCCTGTAATGTAGTTGCCTGTACATAATCATCTATAGGAAAGACACCACAACTAGAGGGCAGCCCCTGCTTGCCTAAACTAGAGAAAGCCCTGGTACAGCAATGAAAACCCAGCACAGCTAGTAAATGAATAAATAAAATTTAAAAAATCATTAAGAATTCCAAGAAGGGAGGTAAAGCATTAAAGCAAGCCTGGGCCCTCCCCACTGCATGCTGTGATGGGAAAGGTTGTTCCTGCTCCAGAAGAACTGGGGCTTTATGGGGTAGCGCCCATGGCGAGGCCCTCCAGAGCAGATGGCAGTGCCCACACTCACTGCAAGTTCATCTCATGATGTAACAGGACAGAGCCCCAAGCCTATATCCTTCTGTTTTGACTGAGTCAAAATTAGACAAATGTTGACAAAGCTGCTGTCTATCTTCAAGGTGAAGGAACAGCATGTGTTCGGCAAATTTATATAAACAAAAGATCAGAGGAATGTTTCGTTTCCTTAAGATTTCAAGTTTTATATAATGTATGCTGCCGATATTGAATGAGTCTTATTTAGATCATGGTACCCACTTTTTCTGTGGAGTGGTGTTAAAGAAAATAGAATTGTCTTTCATTTAAACTGGAGCAAAGCATTTCTTTTGAAATTCAGAATTTGGCCTAATTTGAATGGCAACAGGACTGAAGTTTATTCTCTATGAGGGGTTAAAAAGTTGTCTTTTTTTCTGTTGTAAAGAGCCATATGGTAAATATTTTAGGCTTTGTGGTTCTCTGTAGCAGCCACTCAACTCTACCATTCTAGCACAAAAGCAGCTGTAGCTGACATATACTTAAATAAGTGTGACCATATTCCAAAAATAAACTTCATTTATGGACACTGAAAATTTGAATCTTATATGATTTCCATGTGTCATAGAATTTTCATTTTTCCCCCCAACCATAAAAAATATAAAAGCCATTCTTAGCTTGTGGACTGTACATTTTTTCAGTTGTGGGCTGGATTTGGTTGGAGGGAGGGGCATAGTTTGTTGACTCCTGAGTTACACCATCAGTAAAATACAAGGTTGCTGAATACATTGGTTGGTTATGAAATGTTTGAGCGATGAATCTATTTGGGAGAATAAAGTGTTGCTAAGAATTTTTAAATATTATTTTAAAAATATGTCTTTGTTCTCATGTAACCTAGTTTGAGTTGTTGAACCTTTGTGAACATTCCAAATATTTAATTTTTTACTTACTCAGTAGAAGAATGGGGACAATAGTAATGGGCAATAGTTCACATCATCTTAGGTTGATGTGAAGATTAAATGAAGGAATCATGTAAAAAACTGATCACAAAGTCTCCAATCAAATTTTAACTAGCATTGTTAACAAAAAGATTTTCCCTTCCCAGTAAACCTCTCTTGCTGAGGTCAAAGGATAATTTTTATCTATATCCTAGAGCTCAGATCCACCACCAACAGAAAGAGAGAACAAGCCAGTGAACTAAGCTTAGTTAGCCCTATGGATTAAAGAACCTGGCTGAAACTTCAGCTCTCAGTGATGGGAATGGGGTGGATACAGAGAAGAGCAGTGGGGGTGCAGGGTAGGTTGAGAGCTTCAAGCAGGTGCTAACCCAAAGCCCAAGGGAAGTTACGTGCCACACATTACTCAATTTATAACGTCTGCTTTCTCCTTTGTCACCCATCAGGTTAGTCTCTGCCAGATGGTTTCTCATTTGGGGTTGAGGCTGAAGAATGACAAATATCTACCATGACAGATTCTTGAAGGCAAAGTAAAAAGCCTGTGTGTACCTATCAGCATTGATAAAAGGGGGTCAAGGACTCCTCAGACCCAAATATGGTACTTTAGCACTTACAGCATGTCCATTTGAATAAACCATTTTCTAAAGAACCATCTCACTACTCAACCAATGGCTGCTGACAATGTGGCTCCTCACTGTCCGTGTCTCTGCAATATCTCATCAAAAAGAGAACTCTGCAATATCTCATCAGAAAGATTTTAGCTCAAGGAACTTAAACATCCTCCTTAGCAAAGGACAGGGTCCAGAGAAAGCCAGTCTGTCAAGCCTGCCCAGGAAGGCAGCATGCCAATGTCTGTGATGCCCAGGGACCTCTCCTCAACTTCTGCGAATTGTATCATGGGAGTTTCACAGTCACAGATGTTCAGGATGTGGACATCAATTAGGCCCCTTTTGCTCAAGGTATGGTTACCATGGGGACAGATGGGGGGATAGTTAGGGAGTTTGGGATTGACGTGTACTCACGTCAATATTTAAAACGTGTATTCACGTCAATATTTAAAACAGATAACCAACAAGGATCTACCATGTAGCAGAGGGAATTCTGCTCATTATGTAATGACTTAAATGGGAAAAGAATTTGAAAAAGAATAGATATATGTATGTGTACTGAATGTTTTTGCTGTACACTTGAAACTAACACAACATTGTTAATCAACTATACTCCAACATAAAATAAAAAGTTAAAAGGAAAAAAAAAAAGAAAGAAAGAAATCTCTACTCTGAATGTCACAAAAACTAAAGAAGCTGTTTACACAGAGGTGCTAATTTACTTTTTGACCCCTTGGCTCAAACTTCTCTGTGAAGTTTAGATTTACTCCATATTGATTCCTTCTTTCATCAAACATTTGGCAAAGATATACTGTGTACAAGGACCTCCTTGATGGCTCAGAGGGTAAAGAGTCTGCTCGCAACGCAGGAGACACAGGTTTGATCCCTGGGTCAGGAAGATCCCCAGGAGGAGGAAATGGCAATCCACTCTAGTATTCTAGCCTGAAAAATCCCATGGACAGAGGAGCCTGGTGGGCTACAGTCCAAAGGGTTGCAAAGAGTTGGGCAGGACTGAGTGACTAAGAATAAGCACACACCATCTGTAAAGTCAGGACTGAGTACTAAAGAGTGTGAATAAGTAAAAATCTTGCCTTCAAGATGGCAAAATGTGTGGCAAGTGCCTTAGTGGAGGTCAGGGGATATATGGAGGGTCCAGAAACCAAGAGAAGGAAGTGTCCCAGTTTACCTGGGATGGAGGTGGCAATTGAGGTGGGGAGACTTCCTAGGGTGAAGATGAATTGATATTTCATCTCAAAGGATGAATTAGGGACGGGAGGGGCATTCCAGGCAGAGGGAACCCCACAAGGGAAAGTATGACAGGAATGGTGGGCCACCTACTTGGGAAGCTCTGAACCCCCTGAGGGTGTTAGTATATAAATGCTGATAACAGTTCTCAGGAAGCTGTAAGCTAAGACAGCTCCTAGTGCCCCGAAAGGCTTTGGGGAAACACCAGGTGGTTGGGCACTCCGCTTTGTCCACACCTCAGTGGCTAACACTGTGTCACCCTGGGGCTCCTCCCTCTGGGTGCCTGGTTTCTTCCAGGTCCCAGAGTCAGGGCTGAAGGCTCACATTTCCCTTCCAACCAGGTGAATGAGAAAGGGATAGTCCTGAGAACAGAAACATAAACTCTACACAGAGTTACTGAAAGATGTGTTGTTTTTAAAACAAACAATCCTGAGCAGGAAGGAAATTGTGGGTAGTAGAGGGTGAGAGGAAATATATTTATCTTTCAGCTGAAGAGTTTGAACAACTCTCAGCATATCACCTTAAGCAAATGAGACATTGACATGGAACGGTTTTCAGTTCTTTAAAAACGAAACAGAGAGAAATGAGAAAGGAAAACCACCTGTCCTGACCCTACATGGGCCAGATGCCCTGCTCAGCTTTTTCACATACACCAGCCCGATTCATCCTCATAGCAGCCCCATCTTGAGAAAACAGGCTCAGAGAGACAGCTGTTGACTTGTCCATGGTCACGCAGAAATGATACATAAAGTAAAGCCTGAACAACATCAACAACTTCCCTCATAGGAGGGACATTTTTCTTCATGTTTCTGTAGCTGGCAATGTTCAATTTTAAAAGTTATGAGTTGTTGTATATGATTTGAAACCTCAAACTATTACCTATATTTCTTTTATTTCTCCCATTATATCTAGCTCAGTGTTGGGGACAAAGTAGGTGCTCAGTAAATTCTTATTATTGATAAACTGGCTGAAAAGTCAGTCTTGCTAATCAGCATCTATTTATCATTCTACAACTTGGTTCTCCTTTATAACATCTACTTATGGATGTGAGAGTTGAACCGTAAAGAAGGCTGAGAGCACCAAAGCATTGATGCTTTTAAACTGTGGTGTTGGAGAAGACTCTTGAGAGTCCCTTGGATTGTAAGGAGTTCCAACCAGTCCATCCTAAAGGAAATCAACCCTGAATATTCACTGGAAGGACTGATTTTGAAGCTGAAGCTCAAGACTCTGGCCATCTCATGCAAAGAACTGACTCACTGGGAAAGACCCTGATGCTGGGAAAGATTGATGGTAGGAAGAGAAGGGGATGACAGAGGACAAGATGGTTAGATGGCATCACTGACTCAACGGGCATGAGTGTGAGCAAACTCCAGAATATGCTGAAGGACAGGGAGGGAAGCCTGGCATGCTACAGTCCATGGGGTGGCAAAGAGTTGGACACGACTGAGCAACTGAACAACAAAAATGATACAACTAACATGTGTCCCTATTTTTTTAAGGCTCTCTTTTTCTCTGGCACACTGGTTCTCAATCTGGGGTGATTTTGCCCCTTGGGGGACATTTATTGGTGTCTGGAGACATTTTGGATCGTCACAGCTGGGGTTGGGTGTCGCTACTGGTGTTTAGTAGGTGTTGGCCAGGGATGTTACTCAACAACCCACAAAGCACAGGTCAGCCCCCACCGCAAAGACTCATCTGTATTAACCCAAGTGTTAATACTGCTACTGCTGAGGAGCACTGGCGTAGAGGGTAGCAACAAGTGAAAAGTGACTCAACTGTTTGTTGAGCGCTTTTCTCTTGCGGAAGAATCTAGACTTTCTTGCCTAAAGGCATTTCACATAGTTCACCTGTTAGGGCAGAAGGCACAGTGTCAGGGTCCTGAGGCCAAAACACAGGCCTACAACTGTGTTTCACTGGGTCAACAGTGTTCAGTTTTTACAAAATGTGTTGCTAACTTTAAAAGTCAGGTGCTTTTATGAAAAGATCTGGATTTCTGCCTTCTCTTGAACACTGGCAACACTGGATAGAGGTGGTATGTAAAATATTTAACTGGCTCAGTAGAGTGGTGGCCGTTCAGGACACCTCACCATCCAGAATGAATGCTCACCATAAAAGACAGTGACAGTCCCCAGGGCTAGATGCCAGCCCTGCCACCAGCCTCCGCAGCTCTGGCTGTCCCCTCTGGGGAGGACCGGAGCTCCTGATCCGTCCTTCCTGTCCCTTCACTACTGAGGCTGCTGCTTGTCCCTTCACAGGCACCCTAACATTTTTCTTATACAGATTTAATGGAAAAATGAAGTCTTCACCAAAAGTGGGAAAATAAAAAATAAGGATTGCCTATCTCAAGGCAAAAGATATTTTTCCTTTCCCGCTACTTCAGCTACTCCACAGCGAAGACTAAACATACATCAAGGTCTATGCTTAGCCCCTGTAATCTTGGGATATGTGGCCGCCACTTTGGCTGAAACAACTTGTTTTTTAAAATGCAGAAACTGGGACTTCCCTGGTGGTCCAGTGGTAAAGACTTTGCACTCCCAATGCGTGGGGACCTGGTTCCATCCCTGGTGGGGGAACTAGGTCCCACATGCCACAGCTAGAAGTTTGCAGGTTGAAACCAAAGATCCCGCATACCATAACTAAGACCCAGCACAGCCAAATAACTTTTTTTCAAAATGCAGAAATTCCCCTGAAGGCTAAGACTGGTGGGAACTTTTACTTTCTTTGGGACTTTTTGCCTTCTCCAGGGGCATAGCTAAGGCTGGTTTACAAATGCCATTTCTAATTTTCCCAAGGGTCCCACTAAGTAGCTATAACTAGTTCCATTTTATGGACAAGGAAATATGCCCCAAACTAGTCCAAGATCATGCAGCTAGTAAGTTTTATGACTGAAAGTCAATCTTGATTTGTCCGATCCCAAAGTCTGTGCTCATTGCTCTCTAAGATCTGCTAACCAAGACCCTCTAACTTCAAAGGTCGGTTAGACAGGTAAGAAAGAGGCTTGCACCAAGTCCCAGCTGCTGGGATCCTCTTGGCCTGTAAGACACTTGGGGGCAATCAGAAAGAGTCTCTCCTTTGAGAGGGGGAATGACCATCACTGTGTCCCCAAGACATTTGCTCATTTCAGTCACTGTAACCGTAGCTACTAGCTAGTGCACACCCACTTTCTTTGTATTGGATCAAGCTCTTTACAGGAGTGATCTTTAATTCCTTTTTCCCATTTTCAAATGATAAAAAAAATGAAACAAAAAACTCAAACAGATTAGGTTGCCTGCCTGATGTCAAAAGCAGAACAGTAACAGAGTCAAACTGGTAGGCAAGACTCTGACCTCATGACCATGCTCTTCCACTATACTTTGTTGTCTATTCCTTTCCAGGATATGGCCTAGAAAACCCAGCTCCTGGTTAGTCCCTGAATTTTGCCTTCTATGACATTTGACTTTGGTGTTAGAGTAATACTGCTTTTTGTGCCCACTGGAAATTTCTGTGGGTCTGTTTGTTTGTACAACTTCCTCCTTTGGGTGGTTTGCATAGAGCACTGTGGTCAGGTTCCCTGAGGCCAAGTTCCCCCCGAGGCCAAGTGCCCGCCAAGAGGCATCAAAGCCCTTCTTGGGCTGCACAGACGAGGCTGAAGGGGGAAGAGAGCAAACAGAAGATGTCGACACTTGCCTCCTCTCCATCTCCATGACCCTCATTCTTATCAGAGAACATCTCCAAAGGCTTTGATGCCTATTTCCTCTGGAATTTAAAGTGAAGTGTGGGATTGCACCACTGGCCCTGGTGGGACTGGAGGTGGGCAGGGAAAGCAATGCTAGAGCCTGTTCGTGTAAGGAGATCAGCCTCACCTTGGTAAATGTGAGATTCACAAAGCCGCCTTGGAAATTCAAAAGGAGGTTGGATTTTCGGAAGCCACAGTTTCCAGAGGCTTGAGTTGCATTGGGGTCGATGTTGAAGTATTTCTGAGGTGAAAAGACCTAAACCAAATAAAATAGATGGCCTCAATGAAGAGAACACTTTATTTGGGAGACCAGGAACACAGGCTAGAAAGGAGTCTGAAACTCAAGACTAGTGGGTGTTCACTGGGGAATTTCAAAGTCCGTGGAAGACACCTTTCATTTACAATCTGTTAAGACTGTTTTTTTCCCCCAACTATTTTTATTAGTTGGAGGCTAATTACTTTACAATATTGTAGTGGTTTTTGCCATACATTGACATGAATCAGCCATGGATTTACATGTGTTCCCCATCCTGAACCCCCTCCCACCTCCCTCCCCATCCCATCCCTCTGGGTCATCCCAGTTCACCAGCCCCAAGCCCTTGTCTCATGCATCCAACCTGGACTGGTGATCTGTTTCACACTTGATAATATACATGTTTCGATACTGTTCTCTCAGATCATCCCACCCTCGCCTTCTCCCATAGAGTCCAAAAGTCTCTTCTATGTTAAGATTTTTTTTAAACGAAAGAGTGCTCTCACAGTGAGGAGTTCCTTGAGAGATAATTCGTGGCAGCTATACTCTTGATAAACTGTATGAAATTTAGTTTTTGTTCAATCAAACATGCTGGGCACTACAGGAAAGGTTTTGCTGTCTAATGAATTTCTGTTTCAAATAAAAACCCGAATGTGGATGTTTTACTTGCAGTCCCCAAAATGATGCAGAATAGGAAGGACTTTTATAGTGATTCTTTCAGTAAATCAAATAATCTTAGCCCCCACCCCCAGCACCTCCAACCAACCTTGTCGTTAATCTGGATTTTTCATATTAATGTCACAGGTGGTTGGGACAACCATTGAATGCAACCTATCATTTCACAGGAAAGTTGTTGAGGCTTGGAAGTCATCCAGAGGGACAGGGCCCAGCTGGGGTCAATGCTGGACATACCCCACACTCTGCCCATGATGGCTAAAAGTGAGGAATGTGCATATTTAAAATTTTGGTATGTGCTTTCCTTTGTTCATACAGTCACTATCAGTGTCTATTTTTATAGGTATTCTAAAACGGGTTCTCTAATAGAGGACCTTGGGGAAAGAGGAACTCGCAAGTATCTGTTTCATTACAAGATACAGGATGCAGGGGAATGTTCATTTTTAGCAAGGCACTCTCACTCAAACTTTTTGAAGCTGTTGTTATGGTCCTTTGGCCCCGACTTACCGACACGGAGTCTTGAACCGTCAGCTGTATCCCCATCTCTGCTTTGATACACAGCTTGCTTCCATTGAGAACTTGATAAATTCCCGTCTTGGGTGACAATGGCTGTGGTGCAAGGGTGGGCCTGGGAGCTATGGTGGCAGGTGAGGCCGTTTGGGTGGTGTTGTGTACGGCTGTGGTTGGCCCTGGGGTGTGGGTGGGTTGAGTAGGTTTCTGACTGGTTGTGATGTTGTGTGGAAAGGTGGACAAAGTCGCTGGAAGAGTGGTCTGGTTACTGAGTTGGGTGGTTTTCCCTGTTGTGTGGCTGGCAGTCGATGGCCTGTTTCCAGTGGTGTGAGCTGTTGAGTTGACAGTGGCTGGTGGTGAACTGGGACCTACACTGAGGCCAACTTTAGCCTCGGTGACTGGGAAAGTCACGTGTGCCTTGTTGGGTGTGGCCAGGGTTGTGACTAGAGTGTGGGTTGTTGGACTGGTTGGTAGGGTGCTCTTTGTAGTTACTGGGGAAGTTGTTGCTAGAACTTCTATGGTTGTGTTTGTGGTTAGGGTCTCAGAGTTGGATGTTTTGGCAACTGTCTGAGAGGTGACATGACCATCTGTCGATCTTGCTGCTGCAGTTTTGTGAGGCATGTGGTTTGTTGGTTGGAGGAGAGAAGGTTTTACTGTGGCCTGTTCTGTTGTAGGTAAAGAGTAACCTGTGATTTCTGGAAACACTTTTGCTTTCCTGTGACTGTCATAATACCAAATCGCTGCAAATTAGAAAAAAATGTTAATATACCAACTAATAGCTCACATTTGTTAGTCCCTCCCCACTCCCACTTTAATGTTTCATTAAAATTAACATGCACTTTTTAGATATGGGGAAAATTTACAAGGATAGAATGGTGAAGTGAAGATCACTCAAAATTCTTCCATGAGGTCATGATGTTAACATTTTGGTTTCACCCATGTTTTCACAGGGTTGTGATCATACTGGGGTTTTTGAAGCAAGGATATTGAAGTGGTTTGCCATTCCCTTCTCCAGTGGATCACATTTTGTCAGAAATTTCCACCATGACCCTTCCATCTTGGGTGGCTCTGTATGGCATGGCTCATAGCTTCATTGGGTTACACAAGACTGTTATCCATGATCATACTGTAGATATTCTTTCCTTTTGTGTGTACAGGGTGTGGTACTAACACCCCAGGGAGCATACTCAGCTATATATCTAAGTGTCAATGTTGCTTCATCTTCCATCTTCAGACATGAATCCGGACAGTTCCTGGGCAGAGTGTGTTCCTGGGTAGGATATTGCTGGGATGATCTGACAGAGCTGGGGCAGCTTGAATAACAGGAATAAAGATTTGCACAGACTTGTACAGTTTTCATAGAATCATATAATCTCAGGCTTGAAAGGGACCTTAAAGATTATCTAATACAAACCCTAATCTAATGTGTGAATTTTACTGTTGGATATTTTGTCATGTGTTCAGCCAATCTATGCATAATTGCCTCCAATGACAAGAGATTCAGTTTCCTTCCATTTTTTATTTTGCCATCAGTTTTCTAATTGTAGCCCAATTTCTATCATTCCCTTACTTAACCTTCGGAGTGGCCCAGTCTTTTCCAGCTAAGAAATTAAATTAACCCATAAAGGCTCTGATATATCTAGTGTGCGTGTCCTTCACAGTTTGGCTTAAATGTCGGCTCCTTAAAGAGTCTTCCCTGCCCTCCCCACATAGAACAGCTCCCCATTCCCATAATTCTCCATCATAGTGTTATTTTCACTGCCCTCACTGCACTAATCACAACTTGTAATGATATAAGGGGATGGCATTCAAATATTTAACAATAAGCCTGACTGGACAGTGTGTACCAGCCCTGATGACATGTTTATAGATTGTGCATCTCTCCCACTAGATTAAAGGCAACCTCAAGGTGGGAGCTGTGGGGTTTTTTTTTTTTTTCCACCACCAGGGCTTGTACATTGAAGGTATTCAGTGGTTACAGAATGAATGAATAAATAACTGAATGTGTAAGTGGTGGTTATAACACTGTAAACCTCCGAGGATTATTCATATATTTATTTGGCTGCTTCTGGTCTTGGTTGTGGCACCCCATCTTGGTTTCCCAACCAGGGATCAAAATCATGTCCCCTGCATTGCAAAGTGGACTCTTAACCACTGGATCACCCACCTCCTATGATTATTAGAAGGCTCAAAGAAGGTGGTTTGAGTAAAAGCCTTTCTGAACTATTAAGCAGACCTAGAATGTGTTTTATTGTCATAGGTTCTCTCCCAGGTCACCCTTCAGGGCCAAAGGCCTCTGGCTCTTTTTCAACCAGAAAAGTTCTATCCTTGTCTCCTTCAGGCACAGAGCAAACCTGAAAGTGGACAAGTGCGATGATGTCTCAGGAGAGCTTATGATCAGGTGCGCTGAGAGACGGTGCTGCTGTTCAGTGCTATGGTTTCATGGTGTTTACCATTGCATTTTCACTCACTGGAGTGGGAGCTGCCCAGTGTCAGACAGTGAGTTGGAAAAACACGGGGAAAATGGAAAGAATGTTCTATGCTGGTGTTTATAGAGTCCTGAATTTCATATCTAATCAAAATCATCCACAGACTCCTTTACTCTTTTTCATCCAATATATTTCCCCATAATAATAGCAATAAAAGTTCAAGTTACTGAACACTTATTACATGGCAGACCTCAGATCAAGGGTTATCTTTCATCAACTCTTCTCAAAAACCCTTTAACAGGTACTAATCTTTCTCTGTTTTTCAGATGAAGAAACTCAGTTTTAGAAAATTCTATTAACTTGACCATAATTGTTCAACGAGTAAATTTTGGAGCTTCAGACCCAAGCCCCTGTCTGAAGCAAAGCCTGCCCTTGGATCTGTGGTTGGGTGGAGGTAGTGTGTATCCCTGGGAAGAACAGTGAGAGAAGAGACAAAATCAGAGGAGAGAATAAGAGTAGGGTGCCCCTTCAGTGACCCCAGTTCACCAAACTTTCATCATGGTGGTAACCAGTGAGGCTTTCAAAGGCCCACATGCTAAAACAGTGCTCATTTTCCAGAAGAATAGGCTAACTGTAAGTCCAGTACTAACACTTATCAATTATTTCTGCACAGCTGGTTTGTATAAGACATTATTAATGACATTAAATTACTTGAGACTATTACTAAAGAGTCTTTTCTGAATCCAAAATGTTTACTTGGACAACTGAAATGTATAATATTTGAGAGTTATATCAATTGATTTTCTGGGTTGCAGGTTTACTTTGCAAATCTTTGTAAAATCACTCCATGTGGAGCCTTTATGCCCATATTGTAGAACCTGGGGCAAGATTTCTCCATTCAAGATTGTTATGAAGGTTAACAGTTGTTGAAGATTTATCTTCACAATTCATTTGGGCTAAACCTGAGTTGCTGTTTCCTGGGTCAAGAACCCAATAGGAATCCCATTAGGATCATAGTATTATGATGGAGAAATAGAATTCATTCCCAGACATGGTGTCTAGGAATATCTGTAGTAAAAAGCAAAGATTGCTCCAGAGAACTCTGGGAGACTGAGAACTACCTGCCTTTTGCTCTCCTGGATGATTATGTCCTTGATAAAATCCCGCTGTGTTTACCTTATGCTTATGAGCTAAAGTAAATCTTTTCAACTGAGTAGAATTTCCTCAACTGAGTAGCACATGCTTTCAAATGTGGAACCTTCCTGATAATGCAATTAGAACTCCTCTCTCAGTAGTGAATGAACTCAAAGGGAAAAAACACACTGGCTATTTATGAATGCACAGTGCCCCAAACAGGATAAGAACACTCATGGTACCCTGTCAACTGCACTTGGTGTACAGGAAATCTTTGTGAGGTGCCCGGAAGTGATGGCGTCTCCGTATGATACATGATTTTGTGGTGAACAGATGCCTGGGGCTGGTAGGTGAAAGGACCAAAAGTGACAGAGTGTGTTACAGTTAAACAACTCTGGGAAATATTGTTCTTATATTCTCCTTCTCCAATCTAGCCCCTCTCCTCCTCTCCTCGTAGGTGTGTGAGGTATAAAAGATGGGCCGATGATTAGATGGAAATTTGACAGGGGTAGCTCTGCTGTGCATTGAAGTATGTCCAAGAAACTTCATAAGTTTGTTAGGTACTCAAGGAAATAATACTCTGAAAAATACTCTGTTTTACAAAATCTATGTTTATGACCACACATATATGCCCAATCTTTGTCAAAATTGGGTCATAGTTTTTAAATGGGATCTTTGACCCCTAGAGGTTTAGTTAAGTTCACTGAGACCCACAAAGAGGGAAGTAGGCAGAAGCAAGGGCAGGGCATAACTCAAAATCTCTCAGCCCTCCTCCTGCTCAAAAGAACACAACCTGAAATCTGCGCATTGATTTGTCAGACTCTCACTCCCAGAACCTGAGCATCTCCTCTCCAGGATTCAAGAGACTCAGAAAATGAGTACCCTAGAGTCTTCACCCCTCTAGATGGTGAGCTGCAATGCAGCAAGTGGTGTGAGAAGGTTTGGATTTCCCTACAGCTCACATGAGGATCTGAGAGATAACCCATCAACGAGGCCCTGGGACAGCCAGTGACCACACAAGTACTACTTCTCTAGGTATTTCCCAGACAGTTGGGCCTTCCTAGAGAGCCTTAGTTTGGTTTTCCTGCCACACCCAATTCAGTGGATACACGGGAGACGTCACTGAGCCAAGCTCCTGGCCAGGCACTGGAGGCAGGTCTGTATTTTTAGGGGCTCAAAACCTTGTGAGGCAGATCCAAAAATGGACTACACACCTCAGTGTGACAGGAGTTATTATCGAAGCAGGCCCTCTGAGTGCTATGGGGTGAGGTGGGGAATCTAACAGAAGAAATTCCTCAGGCAGACAAGAGAGCAGATGGCATCCTACAGGCAAGAGGAAGAGTTTGTGCAGACACAGGGGCCTCAGAGCCTGGCATGTCTGCAGAGCAGCAAGGGAGTCAACGTGAAGGCAACGTGGGAAGGTTTGGGGAGGAGGGAGAGGTGGAAGGCCAGCAGGGAATGGGCCTGGTGTGTTTTGGAGGCTACACTTTGCACGGCTGTAAGGAACACAGCTGGAGAGTAAATGGAGCCCCAGGGGCCATATCCAGGGACAGGGAACCAGGTACAATGCCTGAGCACTTTCTCTGGCACCTCCCTGGGCAGCAGAAGCAGCCCCAGCTGCATGAGGCAGGAAGACTGTTTCTGCATGTGTGGGGCAGCAGGGGTCAGCCCTTGGCAAGAGTCTGCTCACGGTTTCACAGTTTAATCTTAGAGTATTTAGCAAAAGGATGCAAATCCTGTCTCTGTTAACTTTCTGGGGGACTTGAGACTCAAAGAGAACCTTTGAACAGAAGGGGTTCCAGCCCTGTGTTGGAGATGGCTGGCTGACTCCCCCCAAATTCAGTCTCTCCTTTTTCCTTCGTAAATAGAACCATGAGTTGAAGTTGAGTGCTTACTGCTTGGAATTCATCTCCAGGCCTCCTTCCAGATGGGAAAGATAGGAATGTGACTGAGTTCAGAGCAAAGCAGTCGAAGATGTAGGGTCATGTGGACTTTCTGGGAAGGCTGCTCGAAGGGAGCTCAGTCACCCATGGGGCCTCTCTGTTGCCTTCCTCTTTCCGCCTTCAATCAGCCTGCAAGTTGTATGGGATGGCTAGAGCTCTGCAGACAACGAGAGCTGTGAGGAGGCCTTGCAGGTGGAGGTCATACAGAGGGTGGTGGGTCCATGAGAATGAGTCCCCACACACCTGCTCTGACTTCCTCTTGACTCATTTTCACTTAAAAGGGAAACAAACATTCATCTTGTTTAATTCACTGTTTGGAGCTGGTCTTTTGTGTGCAACTGAATCTAAATTCGATTGATACCAACTTAAATCCTCTTATTTTACAGGGGAAGAATTTGAGATCAGGGAAGCGAAGTGACTGGAAAAAGATTACACAGTAAACTTACTTAAAAGCTATGTCTCTCCAACAAAATGTCTAATGCTTTTTCTCATACCCAATTTAGCAAGTATTTCTTGAATATACGCATGTAGGAGTGTAGTGCATAAGTGTAGAACATGGACCCCAATTTGTTAGCTGAGTGCCTGTGTTCACCTCTAAGAATGTGCAGCTCAGAGAGGAAAGGGCAATGTGGGCATTTCCCCTCCACCTGCCTGGGCATTTATCACACACTCATTCATTCTTGAAACCCCCAGTCACCTGCCAGCCATTGAAATGTTGCCCACACATTGCTCACTGAGGGGTCCTACTACACTGAGAACTTATGGTTTTTTATTAGTTTGTTCTGTTAATCATAATAATGGCTTTCCATTTTTGCCTCCCAAAGAATGTGAAACTCTAATTCTGAAAGTGCAGCATGAAGGAAAACAGCCTGGATTAGGGCAGCTGGCCTGACTCTTCACCCAGCTTTCATGATGAATTGTGTTACAGTCCAGTGCAGGTGTGTCCCTCATTTGAGCATGTTAAATGGGGCCGTGTGGACAGAGCTAGTTCCCTTACACATTCATGTCAGTGGTAGTATAAGGGATTGTGAATCAACAAGCAAGCTTTACAAAGTACATAAGAGGACCCTGTGTCCTAGGGAGAAAATGCTCCTGGTGAAAGCATGGGATAGGGACATAAAAGGATCATTAAAAGCTTAGCTTCCTAAACAGTCTCTCTGACCTGAAATCCTTGCAATTGAAAAATAAATCTTTGATGCCCTGGCTTACATCCTTCTGAGATGGTGCAGTTTGTCAGCCACATCTCATTCATCTTCACAACTTAGTGTTACATAATATAAATGTAGCACTTCATTTGAGAAAAGCAGAAAAACAAAGTTTGACATGCTTTCCCCAGAGTGTGTGGCAAAAGCCCCATTTTTAAGTCCTGGCTCAGTTATTTACCTCTTAAATGGGAGTGATTTCTACAAACTCTCCCTAATCAGGTGCCTAGAATCTATTTGGGAACCACAGGCAGTGTCTCTGTCTTCCTGGGTTGATACCTACTCTGCCTGACTCATGGAAAACAATCCAAACTGTGGAAGCCTGTCCCCTTTGGGAAACAATGAAGTGTGCTCCCCATGTAGAGCAATAAAAAGACAGTCCCAAGTCAAATACCCACAATAACTGAAGTCACTACAGCTATTTCCAGTCTGCCCTGTCCCACGTTGGTCACCGGCACTAGAATGAATTTACATTTAATAGGACCAGATATGGTGGGGTCACCACGGAAGGTCATGTGTGTCACTCACCAGCCAGAGACACGAAGAGCACCACCACTGCAGGGATCTGCCAGGACATGACTGGGGAGCACCAGAGCCTCACCAACAGAGGCTAGGCTCAGCACGGCTGGGTCTTCTGAATGGTGGGAGGCTGATGCCAGGGCAGGCTCCTTCTGCCCTTCACTCAGTTCTGGCAGAGAAACCAAAGTCACTTGTGTTATGAGAAGCAACTGAAAGGCCCTCCTAAGTGATGCAGTGAGTGGGCGGGAAACCACAAGTGGCCCTCCGGTGAAAGCAGGCACTTTCGGTTCTGCCTTAAGTGTTTGTAAGGAATGGGGTGGGGGATGGGGCCTGTTCCCCAGCCTGGTTAAGAGCATCTAAGATTGTTTTCCACAAGAGGTGGTGGATCTGTGTCAGTACCTGCTTCCTTCTCTCATAAGCTGGGTCTCCATTTTTCTCTAAGATCTTGAATCTACTTCTGTATAAACCCAGAGACTCTTCCAGCTGAGAGAAAACCAATCCCTCACTCATGAGGAAGGAGTAGGAGTCAAAACTCAGTGGTAGACCACCGTCTGTCTCTGTGTGTGTTCACAAGAAGTCGGAGACAGCCCTGCTTGCTGCTCAAGGCAGCCTTATCTGGCACCCTCGCCTTGCGGGGAGTGGGGAGAGTATGGTCTAAAGAGTTGGGGCGATCTGGGGTTTGAATCTGACCCTGCCAACTCAGCAGTTGTACAACCTTGGGTAACCTCTCTGAGCCTAGGTTTCTTCTGTTGTATAATAGGGATAATAATGCCTACTCCCAGTTGGTTTTTCTGGAACATGAATAATATTCAATGTCTTGGAAAGGTGACCTTTTCATCTCTTATCTCCTTCCTCTATTAATTAGATGAAGCAATGATGGTCTCTCAGAGCTGTGAATCCCAGTCTGGAGGAATACGCATATAAGCAGTAGATCAGAGGAATGATGGCTTAACTAACCAACTTTACATTAAAAAACTACCTTGCAATACTGTCTCAAGTTTGCTAAGGAGTTTTAAAAGTTTAAAAATTAGTACTTTTAAAATTTAAAGCATAAATCAGCTCTTAACAATATTGTAGGTGGTTATTTGGGGCTTCCCTGTTAGCTCAGTGGTAAAGAATCCGCCTATCAATCCTGGAGACTCGAGATTCAGGTTTGATCCCTGGTTGGGAAGATCCCCTGGAGAAGGGAATGGCAACCCACTCTAGTATTCTTCCCTGGGCAATCCCATGGACAGAGGAGCCTGGTGAGCTACCGTCCATGGGGTGGCACAGCCAGACATGACTGAGACTGAACGACTGAACACACATAGACTGACAACTCCCTTGAGCTCCTGGCAGCGAGTGGCTATAGCCTGATGGCTGTTGGATCACAGGTATTCTCCTTCCAGAGCACCCTGGAAGGCTAAAATCGCTGATGACTCTGACATCCTTCTTTACTGATACGGCAGGAAATTTCTATTTCTCAAGTCAAAATACTGGATTATAATTGTGGATTTGTTTATTTCTCTTTGCACTTCTCTTTTTGCTTTGTGTATTCTGAAGCTCTGTTATTGATGTGTAAACACTTAGGCTTGGTATGTCCTCTTAATAGATTTATCACTTTATTATTTTTAAGTGATTTTTATTTTTGGTCATATTCTTTGTTCCGAGACTCACTTTGTTTTTATATTAACATAGTTATTCTTTCTTTTGATTAGTGTTAGTATGGGATATCTTTTTCCATCCTTTTACTTTTAACCTATTTCTGTCTTTATGTGTGTGTGTGTTAGTCACTCAGTCGTATCCAACTGTTTGTAACTCTATGGACTATAGCCTGCCAGGCTCCTCTATCCATGGAAATCTCCAGTCAAGAATACTGGAGTGGGTTGCAATTCTGTTCTCTCAGGGATATTTCTGATGCAGGGATCAAACTCTGGTCTCCTGCATTGCAAGCAATTCTTTACCATTTGAGCCATCAGGGAAGCCCTTGTGTCTTTATACTGTTAGATAAAATGAGGCATACTAAAATTTTTTTAAGTTTATTTGAGCAAAACTCAGTTCAAATTGGGCAGGGTCAAACCAGAAGTAGTTGGGAGAGCTCCACTGATACAAGGTAGGGGAAAGACTTTTCTAGAGAAGAGGCAGAAGCAAAGCAAGGAAATTATTTGACTGGCTCTAGCTTAAGTGGTTGCATTCTTTGAGAAAGTCAAGCTGGCTGTGTATGATTGGTTGTCTCTAGGTTTCAGTTTCTTTAGGCATTTCAGGCACAGGCTTTGGTTTGCTTACGTAGGCACTAAGACATTAAAGCCACCTCAATCTAAAGGCCTCCTTGGTTAACAATATTTAAAGTGGGTTTCTTGTAGGTCACAAGGGTGGTCTTTTTTCTTCTTCTTTTCTCTTTAAAATATTCAATTTGACAATAACCTCCTTTTAATTGGGGTGTTCAAACAGTATGATTGCTGATATCAGTTCAGTTCAGTCACTCAATTGTGTCTGACTTTTTGCGACCCCACTAATCACAGCATGCCAGGCCTTCCTGTCCATCACCAACTCCCAGAGTCTACCCAAACCCATGTCCATCGAGTCAGTGATGCCATCCAGCAATCTCATCATCTGTTGTCCTGTTCTCCTCCTGCCCCCAATCCTTCCCAGCATCAGGGTCTTTTCTAATGAGTCAACTCTTCGCAAGAGGTGGCCAAAGTATTGGAGTTTCAGCTTCAACATCAGTCCTTCCAATGAACACCCAGGACTCATCTCCTTTAGGATAGACTGGTTGGATCTTCTTGCAGTCTAAGGGATTCCCAAGAGTCTTCTCCAACACCACAATTCAAAAGCATCAGTTCTTCAGTGCTGTTTTCTTCACCGTCCAACTCTCACATCCATGCATGATTACTGGAAAAACCATAGCCTTGACGAGATGGACCTTTGTTGGCAAAGCAATGTGTCGGCTTTTAAATAGGCTATCTAGGTTGGTCATAACTTTCCTTCCAAGGAGTAAGCGTCTTTTAATTTCATGGCTGCAATCACCATCTGCAGTGACTTTGCAACCCCAAAAAATAAAGTCTGCCATTTTTTCCACTGTTTCCCCATCTATTTCCCATGAAGTGATGGAACCGGATGCCATGATCTTAGTTTTCTGAATGTTGAGCTTTAAGCCAACTTTTTCACTCTCCTCTTTCACTTTAATCAAGAGGCTTTTTAGTTCCTCTTCACTTTCTGCCATAAGGGTGGTGGCGTCTGCATATCTGAGGTTATTGATATTACTCCCGGTAATCTTGATTCCAGCTTGTACTTCATCCAGCCCAGCGTTTCTCATGATGTACTCTGCATATAAGTTAAATAAGCAGGGTGACAATATACAGCCTTGACGTACTCCTTTCCCAATTTGGAACCAGTGTGTTGTTCCATGTCCAGTTCTAACTGTTGCTTCCTGACCTGCATACAGGTTTATCAAGAGACAGGTCAGATGGTCTGGTATTCCCACCTCTTTAAGAATTTTCCACAGTTTGTTGTGATCCACACAGTCAAAGGCTTTGGCATAGTCAATAAAGCAGAAATAGATGTTTTTCTGGAACTCTCTTGCTTTTTTGATGATCCAGCGGATGTTGGCAATTTGATCTCTGGTTCCTCTGCCTTTTCTAAAACCAGCTTGAACAACTGGAAGTTCAAGGTTCATGTATTGCTGAAGCCTGGCTTGGAGAATTTTAAGCATTACTTTACTAGCATGTGAGATGAGTGCAATTGTGCGGTAGTTCGAGCATTCTTTGGCATTGCCTTTCTTTGGGACCGGAATGAAAACTGACCTTTTCCAGTCCTGTGGCCACTGCTGGGTTTTCCAAATTTGCTGGCATATTGAGTTAAGCACTTTCACAGCATCATCTTTGAGGATTTGAAATAGCTAAACTGGAATTCCATCACCTCCACTAGCTTTGTTCATAATGATGCTTCCTAAGGACCACTTGACTTCACATCCCAGGATATCTGGCTCTAGGTGAGAGATCACACCATCATGACTATCTGGTCATGAAGATCTGTTTTGTACAGTTCTTCTGTGTATTCTTGCCACCTCTTCTTAATATCTTCTGCTTATGTTAGGTCCATCCCATTTCTGTCCTTTATCGAGCCCATCTTTGTATGAAATGTTCCCTTAATATCTCTAATTTTCTTGACGAGATCTCTGGTCTTTCCCATTCTATTGTTTTCCTCTATTTTTTTGCACTGATCACTGAGGAAGGCTTTCTTATCTCTCCTTGCTATTCTTTGGAACTCTGCATTCAGATGGGAATATCTTTCCTTTTCTCCTTTGCTTTTCGCTTCTCTTCATTTCACAGCTATTTGTAAGGCCTCCTCAGACAGCCATTTTGCTTTTTTACATTTCTTTTTCATGGGGGTGGTCTTAATCCCTGTCTCCTATACAATGTCACGAACTTCCGTCCATAGTTCATCAGGCACTCTGTCTATCAGATCTAGTCCCTTGAATCTATTTCTCACTTCCACTGTGTAATCATAAGGGATTTGATTTAGGTCATACCTGAATGGTCTAGTGGTTTTCCCTACTTTCTTCAATTTAAGTCTGAATTTGGCAATAAGGAGTTCATGATCTGAGCCACAGTCAGCTCCCGGTCTTGTTTTTGCTGACTGTACAGAGCTTCTCCATCTTTGGCTGCAATGAATATAATCAATCTGATTTCGGTGTCAATCATCTGGTGATGTCCATGTGCAGAGTCTTCTCTTGTATTGTTGGAAGAGGGTGTTTGCTATGACCAGTGCATTCTCTTGGCAAACCTCTATTAATCTTTGCCCTGCTTCATTCTGTACTCCAAGGCCAAATTTGCCTGTTACTCCAGGTGTTTCCTGACTTCCTACTTTTGCATTCCAGTTCCCTATAATGAAAAGGACATCTTTTTTGGGTGTTAGTTCTAAAAGGTCTTGTAGGTCTTCATAGAACCGTTCAGCTTCTTCAGCATTACTGATTGGGGCATAGGCTTGGACTACTGTGATACTGAATGGTTTGCCTTGGAAACGAACAGAGATCATCCTGTCATTTTTGAGATTGCATCCAAGTACTGCATTTTGGCC